TACTTTCGTATCCATTGATGTTGCCTAGGGATCCATGAAAAATATGAAGAGACTATATATATATATATATATATGAATGGATAAAAAGTTTGGTGGACGTATGCTTGCTATCCACTTAAGTTGACATAAGCTCATCTCATATTTATATTATAACATTATCAACTGTATACTGGAACTTTATAATTAATTGAAAATTATAATAAATCATAGTTATATATATATATATATATATGAATGGATAAAAAGTTTGGTGGACGTATGCTTGCTATCCACTTAAGTTGACATAAGCTCATCTCATATTTATATTATAACATTATCAACTGTATACTGGAACTTTATAATTAATTGAAAATTATAATAAATCATAGTTAGATTAAGAAAAATAATAAAATAACATATATAATCAGAAAACACACTATTGTAAAATTTGAAGACTAATTATTTAATACTACACCGTGCTTTGCACTGATAGAAAACTAGTTTTTCTTAATTCCAACTTCTTTGTGCTGCTTAATATGCCATATCCTCAAGTACACCTTGATTGTCCAGCTGTAGGAGGGTTTCTTTAGTTTCTCCTTAATCTTTTATCCTGACTTGTGAAATTTTTATTTTTCGACAACAGTATGGTCAATATTGCACAAAACGGAATATCAGTAATTGTATACTAGTTAACATCATCAATAAAAGCGAACAATATTTATCAACCAATGTGATAGAATTTGGATGATCGTACTAGCTGGCATTATTGGCGTATATCATTTCATATAATTCAGTGTTGGTCGACACATAACAATTATAATTCGCTAAATTTTAAAACTGAATCAGGCAAGTGCAGCTACGACTAGTTGCAACAACCGCAATTACATGCAACTACCACTTATTACATTGCAAGAACTGCGGACGAACAGACCCTGGAAAAAAAGCGTATCAAAACAAAAGCATATAATGAAAAGCAAGGATTGGTATATCCCCTATAATCTCAAAGAAACTATATTGTACAATCATACAAACCCACCTTCAAACATGCACATAAACTGTGAGGAAATCATATAGATACAACAATTACAAAGTATGAACACTTTCACCAGTCACCTGTTACCTTCGCGGCCTGGACTGGCATCTTTCAGCCAAGAAAGCAAGCAAACCACAAACGCTAGCGTCAACATCATCACTTCAAAGTAGCCAGCTCCGCTGTAGGAGTAGTACAAACAACAGAAGCCCTTCTCTCCAAATGCCTCAAACTCTGCTCCATACTCACCTTCACCATCTCCGCCAGCATCCTCTTCGCCTTCCCTGATCGATCCTCACCTTCAATCCCACACACGATATCGTTCACAATATCCTCCAAAGTCTCGCCTTCCATCTCCGACCTCCTGTCTTTCGAGCCCCGCAAAATCTGCAGCAGCTCCCTCGCCTTCGGCCGAGCCTTATCCGTCCCTTGCACTGTTAGCTCTAGCAACCCTGGAATCGCTCCTTCGTTGAGAATAACTTCTCTGTATCTGCAACAATCACTCTTGCAAAGTGTCAGTAACGCCCCTACAGCGTGCTCCTTGGTTCGGCTTGACCCATCCTCAAGCGCTTCCACCACTGATAGCACACCCCCGGGCTCTGAAGTCAGAGATACCCGTGCGTGTTCGAAGGGCATAAGCGATTCGAGGAGAGCGACACATTTCTCAACTGTTTTGGACGATTTTTTGAAGGTGTTGAGGATGTCAACTAGGGAAGGGATCGGGAAGCATGAGAGAATTGTGGATAGTGTGTTTCCAGTGGTGGAGAGATTGGAAAGGGTGGTGATTGCGTCAGATTTGGCCTGTGGCGTGCCAACGTGAAGGATTTGGCGTGCCAACATGAAGCAATTAAAAAAACAGGTCAAGTTTTAACGGCCAAATATTAATGCAATACCAACCTCTACCAAATAACTCATGCAACAGGGTGCAATCACCCAAATTCCTAAGAATTAGGAACCATAGGTTAGGAAGAGACAAAGATCGTGAGATTCTACATGAAATTGCCTTCCTTGTTTGGTACAAAAAAAGATGAAAGGTAATATGCCTAATTGAAGATTTTGAAACATTAAAGTTTAGTTCCTGTTTGATTGAGCACAGATTGTAAAGACTCGAAACAGAAGATTCAAATCCAGTAAAAAGAGGGTAAGAGAACAATTAAACATTTCTGTCCATTGACACTTATCTGCTTACTATTAATTATCATAACAACAAGAAAATGAGTATTTGAACTCATACATTCTGAAATAACATGCACCTACTCCCAACGAGCAACAGTTCTATTATATAATGTGATTTTTTAATTTTTGTAATACAGATGAAGTTCTCACTATTGCGTGAAGTTTAATCAAGGTTGGCAGAGCAAATCACATCACTATTGGTGAGAAGGGGTTGATGAAGGCAGAGCACCAATGGGTTTAGTTTTGTATCTTTGGTTATGTATTTGTGTGGTACCCCAAGTGATTGAGACACTATTGCTTATTTTCATCTTTTGGTGGTTCTGTTGCTGACTTTGTGATGAAAGATTGAGACAATTTTTTTAATACAGATGAAGTTCTCACTATTGCGTGAAGTTTAATCAAGGTTGGCAGAGCAAATCACATCACTATTGGTGAGAAGGGGTTGATGAAGGCAGAGCACCAATGGGTTTAGTTTTGTATCTTTGGTTATGTATTTGTGTGGTACCCCAAGTGATTGAGACACTATTGCTTATTTTCATCTTTTGGTGGTTCTGTTGCTGACTTTGTGATGAAAGATTGAGACACTTTTGCTTATTTTCTCTGTATTGATCAAGGTTGGATAGTGAATGATGTTCCATTTTATTGTTCTTAGTCCAGTAGGTTAACCGTGTAGGTGATCAAGCACTACTATTTATTCAGTATTATAAGTAGAACGTTTGTAAATCTTTTGACAAACATCTGCATATCTGCTTCTGTTTGTTGACTATGTTATGGATCATGATCATGAGAACAGGTATAAAGACGAGAAACCTTTTTTCTTTCTGCTGCTAATGTTGAGTATATTTGTGTAATGTCTGGGTGTTAATGTTGGTTATATTAATGTTTGTGATAGGAATAAGTGAAGAACTTTTGATTGGGTATTTGAGAGTTCCTTGTTTGGTTGCTGAGAAACTGTTACTATGTTGGTGCTATTGGTGTCTATGGATATGCAATAAATATACAGCAGTATTTAACTGATTTGTGAGATGCTTGTCTGCTTACAACGCCAAATTTGTTTGGATGTTAAACATGTAATCTTTATCTGTATCAAACTCTTGTTAATATTGTCCAGTATTTAGATATTGTGGGTCTGTTTGTGAACCAGGGAGATCCTCCATCATTCTTTTGCTAAATATGGATAGGTTTTTTCTTCTTCTGACTTTTGTACAGCTGACTTTTGTAAATATCTGCAGCTAAAGAATTAAGATTTAGCATGTGCATCAAGTAAGCCAGAAAGAATAAAAGTAGAAAGTTTGGACCCTTCTGTTGACTGATAACTTTGTTAAACCTTGAGCAATTGAAATTGCTCTCATCACTTATATATGCTCCAATAATACATTCTTACACCCTACTTAGTAGAAATCCAATAAAAATACAAAATACAAATCCGAAAAAAATACCAAATAAAAAAGCAAATACAACAAGCTTCAACAAATCCATAATATCAAGGGAAAGCTTTCTCCTTTCCCACACTTCCCCACTTGACACGGTTCTTGAAACTTGTGGCGTCACGCTCGACTGATTCGTCTGAACAAGCTCTGCCTTTGAACCTTCAAACTCCTCTTCATCAGACACCCATTTGAAGAATCCACAATTACTCTCTCTCCAATTCGCGCATCCCAAAAACAATCGACCGGGGTTCCTCTTAGTTCCAGATCTGGAGAGTACAGCCCTCCTTCCACAATGGCACAACAGTGCACGACGATTGCTTGAAGATGACTCCATGATCCACGGCTACAGATACAAAAGTTTAACCAAAAGTTTAACCAGACAATCATATTAAAGAGCAAATTAGAATATGTGCATCCATATGAAGTTATAGCCAGGTCTACATTTAAGTTTGATATCAGCAGGTATGTTAAGTGTACGCCGCCAGTGCCCTCCACGTCTCTGTCCTTCACAAATCTCTGATGATCATTCAGCATTAGAAGGTTTATTTGCAATTCTAAAGGCGTAATGAGTGGCATAACGTGTTGAGCAGAATTGCATAACGTGTTGGACAGAACCCTTACATATGTTAATAATGCATACATTTCATACTTGAAAAAGGAAAAAGAAAAAGGATTTACCCATTACTTCCATATAGATGCAATAATAACTACTGTTGAGCAGAATTGCAAGTCTAAGATCAAATTAATGGCAATTATCAGATTGAACTTAAACAGTACCTGTAATCAGGATCCCAATCAGCAAATAACTACTGTTGAGCAGAATTGCAAGTCTAAGATCAAATTAATGGCAATTATCAGATTGAACTTAAACAGTACCTGTAATCAGGATCCCAATCAGCAGGATCAGGTACTGAAGAATTACTTTCAACTGAATCACGAGAAGCTGAACGCGGTGACAATGGATTGGTGTTAAATGTGCTGGATGTAGAAGAACCCTGATAACTTAAAAATGATCATCAGATCCAACCTCCACAAACAATTCCGTCTGGATACAATTTATGTTTGGTTCAAATAAATGGGATCATATGAATTCTGTCTTCAACAAAATGAAATCTGTCTATAAATCAAAATCAAAACTAAAAAGCCTAAATCAAGAAGAACACCAACGGTGACCCTGAGCTTATACGCATATTCTAACAAGAAGAACACCAACGGTGGCAAAAGCCCTAAATCAAGCAAGAAGATGAAAACGAACCTGATTCAAGGAAGAGGGTTTGGGTTCTGCGGAGCTCGACGGCGAGAGGGCGTCGGCGCTGCTCGACGGCGAGAGGGTGTGGGTTCTGCGGAGCTCGACGGAGAGAGGGCGTGGGTTCTGGGCTTGACGGCGAGAAGGGAGGAGAGGGCTCTGGGGGTCGGAGGAGGCTCTGGGGGTCGGAGGATTCGTCTGGGGAGAGAGAGGAGAGGGCGTGGGTTCTGGGCTCGACGGCGAGAAGGGAGGAGAGGGTCGGAGGTTTCGTCTGGGGAGAGAGAGGGCTCTGGGTTTCGGAATGATGGAGGTCACGAGATGTTGATGGTCACGAGATGTTGATGGTCACGAGGTCACTTTTTGATTGGGTTTCTTTCAGCCGTTCAACCACATCGGACGGCCATGGGTGATTTCGCACAGTAAAGGGTGCGAAACTTTTTCGCATTAGAAAAGTTCTATATAGTATATATAATATATATATATATATATTATATATTATATATAATATATATATAATATATATATATTATATATATGAATGGATAAAAAGTTTGGTGACGTCATGTTGCTACTCACTTAAGCTTGACATAAGCTCATCTCAATTTATTTATGCACAATTATCAACTGTATACTGGAACTTTATAATTAATGAAAATTTAATAAATCTAGTCTAGATTTAAGAAAAAATAATAAATAACAATATAATCAGAACACGACATATTGTAAAATTGAAGACTAATTATTTATACTACACGTGCTTTGCACTGATAGAAAATAGTTTTTCTTAATTCAAACTTTCTTTGTGCTGCTTAATATGCCATTCCTCAAGTCACCTATATGTCCCAGCCTGTAGGAGGTTCTTTAAGTTTCTCCTTAATCTTTTTATACCTGACTTGTGAAATTTTTATTTTTCGACAACAGTATGGTCAATATTGCCACAAAACGGTAATATCAGTCATTGATGATACTACGTTAACATCATCAATAATATCGAACAAACTTTATCAACCCAATGTGATAGAATTGAGTGATCGTACTAGCTGCCATTATTGGCCGTATATTCATTTCATATAATTCTGTTTAGTTCGACACCTAAAAATTCATAATTTCGCCTAAATTTTAAACTGAATCAGGCAAGTGCAGTACGACTAATTTGCAACAACGCAATTCACCATGCAAACTAAACACTTTCATTAATTTTGCCAAAACTAGCGCAACCGGACACCAACCTTGGAAAACAAGCCGTCATCAAAACACAGATAGCATATAGCATGAAAAGCAAGGATTGGATATCCCCTATAATTCATAAGAATACTTACTAATTGCTCATCATACCAAACCCCACTTTCCAAACGCATGCACATAAAATGTGGCGAATCATATAGATACAACAGATTACAAGTTATAACACGTTTCACCCAGTCACCTCGTTACCTTCGCGGCCTGACTGGATCTTTCAGCCAAGAAGAGCAAACACAAAGGCTTAGCGTCAACATCATCACTTTCAAAGAGCCAGCTCGCTGTAGGAGTTAGTTACAAACAACAAAAGCCCTTTCTCCAACTGGCTTCAAACTCTGCTCATAACTCACCTCACCATTCTTCCGCCAGCATTTCCTTTCTTTCGCCTTTCCCCTTTGATCGATCCTCACCTTCAATCCCACAACACGATACGTTCACAATATCCTCCAAAGTCTCGCCTTCCATCTCCGACCTCCTGTCCTTTCTCGCGCAACATCTGCCCAGCAGCTCCCTCGCCTTTCGGCTGAGCCTTATCGCTCCCTTCCACCTGTGGTTAGCTCTAGCAACCCTGGAATCGCCTCTTCGTTGAGAATAACCTTCCTCTGTATCTGCAACAAAATCACTCTTGCAAAAGTTTCCAGTACGCCCTACAGCGTGCTCCTTTGGTTCGGCTTGACCCATTCCTCAGCGCTGCTCACCACTGATAGCACCACCCCGGGCTCTGAAGTCAGAGATACCCGTGCGTGTTCGAAGGGCATAAGCGCATTCGCAGTCCGAGGAGCGACACATCCAACGTTTTGGACGATTTTATTGAAAAGGTGTTGAGGATTGTCAACTAGGGTTAAGCCTGATCCCGGGAAAGCATGAAGAGAATTGTGATAGTGTGTTTCCAGTGGTAGGAGAGATTGCGAAAGGGTGGAATTGCGTCAGATTTGGGCCTTGTGCGTGCCAACGTGAAGGATTTTGTGACAGACGGGGATGATGGAGGGCGGCCGGCCAATGTGGGACTGGTGTGTGGGAGAGGCGAGGAGTTGAGGAATGCTGGCATGGCATATACCTGTAAGTTCGAGTTCCGTGATTGAAGGAAGGAAATGAGAGGATCGAGTGCACCAGCGTCGATGATCTTGATCTTATTGCTGCAAATTAAGAGCATGGAATGTTCAGTATATATATATATATATATATATATATAAATTATAGCTGACAAATTTGAGAACAATTTATGTTTAGTTTTAGCGTTCTTCAAAAATTCCATATTTAGTCCGTTAAATCTTTGATATTGCTTATGAATCCCTCAAATCGTAATGGGCTGTGCAATTTGATCCCTCAGTGAAGGGGTTTTTAAGGAAGAACATAAACCGAGGGTATTTTGGTCATTGAAGGATGAAATTGGAGGCCCCTTAGGATCTGAGGAACTATGAACAGTTTTCAGCGATTTGAGAGGCTAATATGGAATTATTGAAGATTTGAGGGGCTAATAGATAATTTTTTTCTTTGTGAAACATTCAGCCAAATCTCAATCAGGATTAATATCATAAGCATCAGGATGAAAAATGATAGTTAATAAGAGAGAAATAACCATTCATAGTAGGATGATTGCTCTTCAGTACATTGTAACAATTCATTGCTTAATTAGAGTGGGAATTAGATGTTAGCCAGATCCTATTAATGTTTTATTGGTATGATTATGGATATAGTTGCTTAGTGTTAATGATTAATGGTAGTTCAACATTCATTATTAATCCACAGTAAAATGGTCCTCGCGTGGGTTAATAATGAATATCGAGCTACAGCTACCATTAGTCCTTTAAAATTTGATATATATTCTTATTTACCCCTATACTCTGCATTCCACGTGGCCCCTAAACTTTAACTTATTTTTTCTTAATTATTTTTACTTCACTTTCCTTCTTTTGACGGTGAAGGTAATATCAAAGCTCAAGTCCTTGACCAAAATGTTCAGTCTAGTGGTGACACGATTATGAAATTTCAGGCTATGCTTCTTAACCTTTACTTCTATTTACTCTGTGCAAATACTTTGAGAGAACTACCTATATTCATTCACCTTAGTATTAAAACAGAAAAAGGAACCTTCAAGGTAACACAAATAACTCCATACTTTTCTTTAGCTATTATGTGCGTCATAACCATCCAATAAGAGCTTACATATTATCTACCATGTCCTTGAAACAAACCTTATGAAGTTATCCTGTCAACTAATACTATCTATAAATTACTAAGTCACATTGTCACGTCGGTTTTTTTTTCAGTCTCTTTGTCTGATCTTCATCCATGATATCTTTAGTTCATCCCCTTTGTCCTTATTGAACTGTTTAACAGAGTTTACATTATACCCACACTCAAAAAATATATAAACCTTACTGTATGAGAAACTCAGAACATGGAGCTATATGATCAACTGAGTCATCTTTTCTTGAAGATATTTCAGAATAGGTAAAACTTCATTATTTTATTTGAAGTAGTATTCTCCTACAATTACTCACAAAAGACTAGCGAGAGAGTTTCTTTGTTTCGCTTGTAACATCTTCCATGAACCTAGTAATCCTCCCATGCCTTTTTCTTAATAAGTCAACATCCTGAAATTTGACAAGATAAATCCTTTTACTTCTTTTTGTTCAAAGTAGTTTCTTATTGTGTTTCATATATTTTCCAGTACCAAAATTATACAAAAACTTGAATCACTGTTCCCAACTCAAGTATCATTTATAATAACTGATATGCCCTTGTTTTTAACTTACTAGTAAGGTTTCCAGTCAAGGGACTGATAGATGAAGAGATTTGATTTGGTTTGAACTTTCTTGCTTAACTTTTTCCTTGGTTGAATATTAAATTTCCAAATAAAGCCCCTTTTTCCCTTGGAAAATATTTTAACCAAACCTCCACAGCCAATTAACAAGTATCTCCTTCACCAAATATTTCAACAAAGACAATGGCAAGTTAAACTAATACCTAACAAAGTATTTCACAAACGCTAAATTGACCCTGTGTGCATGCACGCGCATGCCAGTGTGTGCGTGCTCGTGTGTGCGTTATATACATACATTTGTATGTATGTATATGTATGTGTGTATGTATGTATGTATAAGTGTGTGTGCAAGCGCGCTGACATACTTAATATTAAAGGAAACAGTAGGAATAGAAGCAGAGTAGCCCCAACCCCCTTAACTAATGGATAGGCTTTGGACTAAACTAAGCCACTTGTAAACCCCCTTAACTAATAGATGGGCTTTGGACTAAACTAAGCCACTTGTAAAGACCAAAAGTCATATAAATTTAGTACACATACATGTCCAGTTAATAGGACACCAAATATCGCTCTAAGTGCCTAAAATTATACCAAAAGCCAAAAGGGTCGTCATTTAATATAACAAAACGAAGATTAAGACCAACGCTAGATAGATCTCTCATAGAAAACTATGCACCAATTATCTCCTTCACCTAACAAAGTACTCTACAAAGACAAACTTGACACGTGCACATATATGGCATATTCAAATTCCAAAAACAAGGGAAGAGTGTACATGGAGAAAAGAATATAGAACAACTAATCCATAAACTATCATATAAACACTTGCAAGAGACAACTAGTTAATGAGACACCTAGTCACTATGAGTACTAGAAGCCAATAACTTGCTTTATTTATTCATTAATATAGTATCGTACGAAGAAAACTATACAATTGTATCTCATCACTACTTTTCGGTCAGAGAGAAAAAGAGGAAAATGACAAAAGGTAACAAGACAAGCGAACCATAGAACTAAGAGAATTCATCCAATAATGTTCAAAGATACATATCAATTTGAAGATATGAAGTATCAATTTGAAGATATGAAGTATATAATCTATGGTAGAAATATTATTTGCCTGAGACTTATAAGATTCTGTGGTGAGAACATCCAAAACAACTGGATGGATGCAGAAAATTATGCAAGAATCTAAGCTCTACTTAAGACTGACTACATCAGTCTAGCAAATAAGTACAACAAAATATCATGTTCTTATGTTAATTCTTTCACCAATTCAAATTGATTTACATGACGATAAGAAATATGACAAAACACGCATACAATTAGTCCCTAATTAAGCATGACTCAAGAGTTAACAGTTAATTAATCAATGGCATTTTCCCAATATAAGATTATGAAGCACAAGATTACATAGCATGTAACTTTAAATACCAAGTAGTTCATTATTTAATGACACAGAAAACAAACCATTGTAGCCCATTACAACTTTTTCAGTCAAAGATAGAGCTCAATGACAAAAGGTAGCAACTAACAAGACAAGTGAATCATAAAATTAAGAGAAATTATCAAATAATGTTCAATCAATTGAAGATGTCATGTATATAGTCTATGCCATAAGTATTTTTTATCCAAAACGAAATATTATATTTTAAGCACTCCAAAAACAGCTGGATGGCTGCAGAAAACTACGCAAAGAATCTAACATAAGCCTAAGACTATGACTACATCATTCCAACGAAGTACAATTCTTACAAAATAACATCTTCCTATATTTATATCACCATTCCAATTTAATTATATGGTGACGATAGGAAGAAAAGTATGACATGCTGCAATTAATCCCCACAGTTGTTTCACTTTATAAATACCTAATCAAGCAAGGAACTTTCATAACATATGATTATAAAGCAAAAGAAGCAAAAGATTGCAAGTATATAACTTTTGAGTGCAGAAAGGAGACTAGTCAATATCAGTTTTACAAAGAAGAAAGGATACTAAGCACCCAAACTAAAGCTACCAAAAGAAAAAGGAAACGAAAGATAGAGAGTGATGTAGCATCAAGCTAAAGTTCACCAAATTGAAAAACACATAGCAAGAGAATCCATAAACACAAATAACTATATCAACATATAATAGAAAAAACATATCTACCAATTTTAAGATAAAAAGAACATGGAGTTTCATGAGCAAAAGTAATTAAAGGTACTACATGAAAGAAGTATATGCTACATAAGCAAATTGGTTTTCTCCTTCTAATCAAGTTCATATTATTAAAGAAAACATAAATTCCTAACACCAACAAAGAAACTTAACTTGATAATAGAAAATCAGTTGTCTAGCAATATTTTTCTCAACAATTTATTTCACATATCAGAAAAATAGCATACTGAGCTCTTTAGTGAGCAAAAAGGGCATTTGATTCAAGGATGTCGCAAAAAAATAATACAGGGAAGATGACAGGAAAGTAAATTAATCTATTATTAATCCCCAACACTTAATACAGAACAATTAATTACAAATAAATTGCATATCAATGTACCTTTAGTAGCAAGAAGGAGACCAATTTAGTTTAAGGACAATTTTTTAAATGGACCCTTTTAAATATTTATATACAAATTTCGACCCATTCCTAACTTAATTAGCAATTTCGACCTAGTTTCATGAAGTTAGGTCGAAATTGGTGAATAAAACTTCACAGGATTGCCAATCCCATGAAGTTTTCTATGTTTAAACTTCACGGGATTGCCAATCATGTGAAGTTTTATTCACCAATTTCGACCTAGTTTCATGAAACTAGGTGGAAAATGCTAATTAAGTTAGGACTGAGTCTAAAATTGTAAATAAATATTTAAAAGGGTCTACTTTCAAAACTTGGCCTTAATTTAAAATATCACCAAACAATTAAAGAAATATAAGAGAGGTGATCTACCAATTACCATCAATTTACAGTTCCTTTTTGCAACCCAACCAAACCCATATTAAATAAAATTCAATGGGAAGAACAATAATATGTAAATGTATATATCACTTTTTAAAGTAATAAAAAGAAAAAAAATTCTCAAACAACTCAAACTTTTCATAAAGATTAAAAAATTAACACTGCCAACAAATAAATTTACCATAAAACTGATTAAAATAATTCATAAACAAGTCCAAAATTTTAGACAAATCAATCCTTGTCAATATTGACAACAATTAAATAAAACCCAATATAAAATCATTGCAGATCCAACGACTTAAACAAAATATTAAATCTCAGTTTCTTAAGAAACAATTATATTAGATTCAGCAATATGTATAAACCCATATTAGAAATATCAACTTTATTCCTCAATAACAATAACAAAAGTCAGGAAACTAATCATATAGTCAATATTGACAACAAAACCCAGTAAACAGAATCATCGGCAAATCCAATCTAGTGATCCCATGTATCAAAATTAAGTTTTTGAAAGAAAATTTAATTGGTAGACTCTCAAATAAAACATTTCCATTTCATTATTCCCAGTACAAAAATAATACAATGAAAATGGATTAAAAATAATTCACATAAAGACCCCGGGAAAATTCACGAAAACCAATTATGCTTAAAATATATCACAGTGAGCTAAAACACAGTAAACAAAACGATCAATAGATCGAATTGGCTCAACCCAAATATCAAAAAATTAGCCAGTAAATTCAACAATTGGTATAAACCCCGTATAGAACATATCAATTCCATTCATCCCACAACACCACCAAAATTGAAAAACGACCCACTTCGTCCTAAAAATTTTTTTTTTACCCGTCGTCCTGAAGATTCAGCAGCGCGCCGATCAATTATACTCAATATAGTCAATAATTAACTAAAACCCAACATACAAAATCATACAGATCCATTCGACTTAACCCGCATATCAAACATCTCAATAGATTCTGGATGGAAACTAAAAGCATGCAGATTTGAGAGTCCTCAAAATGCAAAATATAATTACCTCTCGTCCTTAACTGCAAGATTCAGCAGCGCAAGAATAGCCGCCTCGATCGACTCCTCGCTCTCCGCCCTCAGCATCTC